GTCTAGTTAAATGGTCAGCCTGGAGGCAAGGATAAAGACAGGAACACATCAATCAAACTGTTAAAAAGGCAAACTAAACTCAACCAGAAAGCTTACAGAACTTAAGTGATCTCAGATCCTAGAAGACCAATTATAAAAGCAAAGCTCAGTTGTGTGTGTTATCTTCACACAGGGGGTGTTTTTTGTTTGGTTCTTTTTTTTTTTTCCCCTCTTCTTTTTTTGTATGGAAAACCCCTTCCATCACACATTCTAAGAAGGAAGGGAGACAGTCTAACAGGAAAAAAAGATTAGGAAAAAGGTCAGATAAAAAGCCATCCTACTTTTGACATATTATGAGGCTTCCTTAGCATTTGTCCTGTATTTATTATAAAGAAAATAAAGGAGTGGAAGAGAAGCTTTGTCCTGGACCTTTTTTTTTTTTTTTAAATTAAATAACACACGGACATGCAATTTCAGCTAATATAATTTTCATAATTATTAGATGGCCAAAATGTTATCATCTGCTATTCAAGAAAAAGGACAGCTTTGTTAAATACCTCAGTTCTGTTTCACCAAAGAAATAGGTAGGGTTTACCATAAAAAGAACACAATTCACCATTGATAGATCTATAGGATAAGATACATATTTTTAAAGTATCAGAGAAGGAAAACTAACAATTAATAAAATCCATTTTTAGACCTGCGTAGCAAAAACTAAGATCATGGAGAAGGTTATATAAACAACCCTGGATTGTACTTGGAATGGAGTGGGTTCATGTTGTCAGTAAAATGATGAAATATTTTCTAGTTCTGTTGGTAACTAAAGAGAATATTAAATAACATCTGTTAAAAGCAAGTATTTGAGGATCAGCTGACCCAAATCAGTTAGTCACAGAAGCCTTCAAAGAGGCAGCTAGGGTGAGCTGGAGTTCTACTGCTTAACATCAGCACGACAACCAGTGGATTGTAGTTTTGTTAACCATCAAAGAGGGCAAACAGATGACCTGAGTCAATTATATCTCACTTAGTCTAATGTCTACACAGGAAAAACAACCAGAGAGCTGTTATAGATTTATCTTTAATCACACTAAAATGGCTAGAATAATTATTAACGCTAATCATCATCACATTAGGCAAACTCAGGTCTTGTCGAACAAGGTTTATTTTTCAAATTTGCCTCAATGCAACACACACAGACATTTGTAGGTGGTTGAATTAGTAGTACATGACACTCCAATTTAAGGAGCTGGCACAGAACTGTATCAGTGCATTTAATCTTTGCTGTATTAAGAACTAGCTGCCAGCTCTCAGATTGCAGCTGTCAGTTGAAGATTAACGCTGACAAATTAGACAGGAGTTCCTCTACCAGCATTTTCGAGAACTGTACTCTTCGATGTTTTCATCAGTGCTATACTATCTGAAATAACCTGCAGCTAACAGAAGCACAGGACAGTTAAACCGTGAAAGGGACGTGTTACTAATGTAGGCCAAAATGGATCACAAAGTAAATCAACTCAAATCAAATGTACAGATAATCGTTTCCTAGGAACTAAGAGAACCGGCAATTAGCTATGGACACAATCCTGAAAAGCAGCAAGCGTCAAGCATCCAGAAGCCATTACTGGGAGGGAGATCTAGTAAACCCAGTCCTGAAAATGAGCTACCACTGAAATTCTGACAAGAGGAAGGAATTCTTAACTCCTTGTCTATGTAAATACGAGGAATAAAGAGTATCAGGAGAAACACAATTTCACTCCTATAAACAGTGTTGATTAAAACATTGGAATAGTCTGTCTGGTTCTGGGGACCATAATTTTCAGAGAGGCTTTTAAAATAGCTGGAGAAAGTGCAGAGAATTGTTACTGAAGTGACTCAAAGGCAGGAGAAAATGACTTTCTGTGCAAGAGTCAGGGTATGTCCAAGTTGTGCAATACCACGGGACAGAGACAGCCCACTGCTCATGCCAGCTGAGTCTGCTCCAGGACAAACTGGAGCTAATAAATGTGGCCACTCACACAGCTACACAGCTCCTGAGACCAGAGGTTGTATCTTTACACAATGCTGCTCTGTATCATGAAGACACACCCTCAAATAACCCAGCCTTTTAATGGTTTGTTGGGTTATTTTTGGTTTTGGTGTTTTTTGGGGTTTTTTTTTGTTTTTTTAAAAAGGGGGGGGAACAGTGATTTGTTTTCTGTGTATGAGGACTTTCATAGAGAGGAAATAAAGATAAATATATATAGTTCCCTTATCTTGCAGGGAAAAACATCTGAACAAACTCATGACTGCAAACCAAAGTCAGAGAAATTTCAAATAGAAATGAAGAGCAATTTCAATCAGGAGAATGACCACCCAATTGGCTTTAAAAAAAAAAAAAAACAACCAAAAAAACCCACAAAAAAACCACCCCAAAAAACAGCACTGGATTCTCCTTAGAGATAGAATTGCATTAGAAATTGCGTTAGAAGTCTGTAGATAATACAGTTGTTTATTTCTTCTACTCTTGATGAAGCAAGTACCTTTATGAAAAGTAACTGTGCCTCCTGACAGCTCAGCACCTTCAAATAACAAAGCGTTTCCTTTCTTACATTTCTACCGCTTTCTCTTCAAATTTGACACCTACATTCTGAAGTAGCCTCAAGATGTATTCATTCAGGGAACAAGATGTCAGCAGTCTCTCTCTAAAGAATGAAATTTTACCTCTAATCTCACAAGCAACCAACCCTTATCATCTCACCAGGACAAGTACTGGCACAGTTCTTAACTAATGGCTCAATGTTGCATCCTGATGGCATTTTTTGTTTTAGATCCGATAACAGTGTAAAAGATAACAAGACAAATACATAATGCAGCCTCTTCTGAGGCTGTATCCTCCTTAAAGCAAAGAGGCAAGGATCCCATGATCATATTTCAAATGATGTCAGTGAGGCCAATGAAAAAAAAGACCAATTTCAAAATAGAGCTGTGCTAAGGAGAAGCTGAACAAGGTATGAATATAATGGCATTGTTAAAATACTCGGCATATTCAGATTATCAACCGTGCAAATACTCACCAGTTTGTGATGGCAGTGGGAAAGCGCATCCAGGATTTCATCTACAACTCGGTCAGACAGGAAAGAAGCCACTGTCAGCTTTACTTCACTGTGTGAGAGTTAAAAACGAGACAGAAAATTTTAATTCACGCAGGAGGATTTTGTCTTTATTACACGTTCAACAGTGCAACGATTATCCACAGTGCTGTCACTTTATTTGAAATAAAACATTAGAGGGTGTCAGGATACATGACTGCAGGTTTCAGAAATAAACCCATGAATCACACAATAAACACAAGAGCCTCTGTACCATATTTATCCCGCTTCTAAAAAGTTTTTTAAGAGCTGAAATGAAAACATCTGGGTAAGAGAGCTGAATAGAAACCACATGTGAAACTCACTTCGCCACTAAGTCGGAGAAACACGAATCTCAGATGAATGGGATTAGGACAGTGGTGCCTGTTTAACAGTACTATACTGAACAACTACAATCCACTCATTTCCTCAACTCCTTTTTGTGTTTGTCTGCCAGCTGAAGGGCAACTGGACAATGTTGCTTCTCCAGTCTTTGCCATCACAACTTTGCTTCCTCTTTTTGCTCTAGGTAACCACTTTCTGCTTCAAGAACTTCCTGTGAGGCATTCCCATTACACAGACATATGTGGAACACCAACACACCCGTACACTGACTTGAGGTTTCGCTGGTAACTTCCTAACAAGGAAATGTGTACCTTGAATTGCTCCCTTGGGGTCCTGTCCTTGGCCACAGTACAAAAGGCTCAGGCTGTGGAAGGCAGCTGATTTCCAGCTGACAAGCACATACGCCTGAGCTGCAGCCCGAAGCTCCATCTCTCTCTGCGGTTTCAAGGCCAACTGCTTCAACTGACACTTGCAGCAGCGAGGAACATGATTTTGTCTCAATGTTTTTATGTGTGGACTGAGTTGCATTGGATTAACAAAGCCATTTCTATCTGGGGCTACCACTACTGCTGCAAAAAGTCTGGGGAAAAAAAGGTAACAAACTCCTTGGAAAGGCAATGCAATTCATAGGGAGGTAGAATGGTGGCCAAGCTATTGTGGGAAGAGAATGACAGTGAATGGACTTCCCTCAGTTACCAACATATTAATTTCAAATAAGGTAAAGTTTGGCACCCTCACCCCACTGACAGTGGCAGCTTCTACAGGTGGAAGGGACACTATTATTGTCTCAGGCTCATGATTTGTTTGATAGGACTGAAGTGAAGAAAACTCAGTCCCCTGAACCATTTTAAGCACTCTGGCATGGCTAAAGTCTTTAATGTCTTTTCCTGCCAATTTTGCTGCACTCTGCAAAACTAATTTCTAAGTCTTAATGTTTTCTTCTTCTGCAAAGATATTAGTATCATAATGCAAAATGGATTCCTTAGCCAAATGATGGCAACTGCAAAGGTTTAAGTACAGGTCAACCACATTATACTGCATAAATATATTCTCTAAAAAAAAAAAAAGAGTGAACTAAGAGTTGTTTAGGGTAACTGTTTCTGTTCCAAGTTTGTGGCTTGAATGTCCAAGTTTCCATTTTTTAAGTATGTCTGTCTGCTGTGCACAACTCCCACCAAATAAAAAGGTTTAATGTAATTGCTACAGCTACAGGACAAGACTAAATGCAGCAAAAGAGAAAGCACGGTTAACACTGAAAGCAATTCAGTGCCGTTTCCTTCTATTACTGTAATTCAGTGTTACCTGAGAATGTCAATAGGTTTAAAAAAATGTATTAGTCATGAAAATGTTATTTGTGTACCATACACCAAAACGTTTACTAAATAAAACAGAAACACATGCATTAATGGTCAAGTCAACAGTCCTAGAGATTCCAAATATTTGAATCTCCTGAACTATGTTCACCAGACCTGTAGGACAATTTCTCGCTCTTTGAATGTCTCGATATGGTTTCTTGTGAGTCACAAAAGCATTCAAAAAATCTTCTACTACACAAACACGCAACTCAAAATCCAAATTGTATAACCAATTTTGTTAGATTAGTCTTTTAAAGTACCTAATTTTATTGAGGATATCAATTCCAGATTGCTCCAAGAGGACATTTTTCACAAAAGTGCGTGGGATGGAAATCTTCTCAGTGCTAGCCTCAATCAGGTCTTCACGGATGCGAGCTTTCTTCATTACATTTGGGCAAAGGTTTTCTGCTGCATCCACCATAGACTCAAGGAGTGTCTGCAGCACAGCAAGCGAAAGCTAACATCAGGTATTGAGATTTTCATTAGCTGGAAGATTACAGCATTATTCTGGTGCATAGCACTATGACACTTTTAGACTTGTAATTTTTACAAGTTTTCTTCCTAATTTCCAATCCATTTTGCAATCCAGCTGCAATATAAAAGGCATTTTACACAATAAAGCTAAGGAGGAACAGTATGTTTGGAAAATGATCCACAACTGTACTTGTTTGCCTTTCCAAATATGAAACATTTACATCTCTGCGTGTTTAACTGTCAGAACAATAAATTAGCTTTCCTGTGCACCCACCACTGCTGTGTTTGCATGCTGCAGCAGCAGTGGATGCTCTTGCAGCTGCCTTCGCTCTAAACTGTGCCCTGAACCAGCAATTTTCATCAATGCTCCAGACCTGCCAATTTGTAAGAAGCATCAGTATTCGAAAAAAGAAGACTCATGAGAACTTGGCATGCTCTACAGGACTGCAATATACTAGCCGAATATTAAGAAGCTACAAGTATGATTTGCAGTGGGCATACAAACCTTCCATATACGTATCTCATTTATATACATGGAAGTCCATAGTGGACTTTAGCTGCAGTCAACAATTTTTATTCTTTTTTAATGACTGATCACACCCCAAACCAGGACAGGAGAAATCCATATAGTCTTCAGAAACAGGACCATGTAACCCCGCAGTCCCCTCAAGTTTATTTTTCTTAAAATAAGGTCTCCCCTGCTGATGGTATAAACTTAAGTTCTTCCCTCTTAGACTTTCTCTTAGAAAAATCTTTCATATGTACCTTAATTCTATGAAGTTATGTTACAAAGCCCCTTTCAGTTGCATTAGATTTGTCTCCTATCTGTGCCTGTGAGAAAAGGTAATTCTGGTTTAAATCCTGTTTTATCACCTACTGGTTTCTTTTCCAAACCCCAGCTCCAACTAGAAGGATAAAGAGCCCTCACTGCAGGTGCAGGCGAGGGATCACAGTTCCTCACGTAATCATCCCTCTGTGAACTTGTATCACGGAAAGTGCGGGAAATCTCTAATGTACACACATAGGGATCAGGACGAGACAAAGAAACATCTTTTCTCTAATTGATTTCAATTTTCGTATCCAAAAAGCTTACGTAGGACCACAGAAAGCAGATTATTAAGATGCAGATGACCACAGCTGGTCATCTGAAAAACTAAGTTTTAAATTCATACTGTTTTATCTACGTGCTGATACATACCCTGCGTACAGTAAAACAGATCTATTTATAAACACTAAATAGCATTTTCTGACAGGACTGAAACTTGTTATTTGTTCAAATTCTCTCCACCTTACTCCATCACCAGTCCCAGCAACCTAGGAAATCTATTTTAGGTATCTTCAGAAGGCTGTTCAACCATAATTAATTTCCCATCAAATAACTTGTTTCAGAGATTTCAAGAGGTCAAGGCTCATCAGCATGGGATCTGAAAACAAACTCTCCATGACCATTCCCAGCATGAAGCGTTACTTAGAAAAGATCAGTAAGGAGATGGTTCTCTCACACAGCTGGTCCCTCTGCATGCTGAAGCTGTCACGCTGCTGCACTCCAGTGACTGGAGGGGTCTCCTTGGTGCTTCCAAAATGGCAGGAAGAATAAAGACATTGTCCTTGATTCATTCTTTCACCAAAGGAAGGTGGAAAGAAGAGAGGGAGATGAAAAGGACAGAGCCCAGTTTACTGAAATGGGTCAAGTCGCTTCCAGTAAGACTGAAGGTTGATAATCAAACCGAAAAAGGTAATTACAAATAGAAAAAGAAACAAAATCATAGTTTCATTGGAATGGTATACTAGGTAAGCCTAGGTCTAATTTAGTTCTTCTAAATTGTACAGAAATAATGAACTGCACACCCCTTGAAAACTCTACTGATTTCCTTTTTCTTCTCAATTTCGCTACACAGGTAAATGACCTCAGGCTAAACTCCATCTTATCAGAGGTTTTTTTTTCCCTCTTTGCATAGCCCTACTATAACTGGCAATTTTCATATGCAGATACTGAGTAAGAAACAAACCCACCATTACTGCATAATAATTTTAATGATTCAAAGCAGCATCTTTCAGTCTGTAGCTCTTAACGGAATGATTTTTAAGTGTTGATTCATGAGGACAACACAGCAGCATGAAGCAGCCACCGCATACAGGGAAGTCTGATCGTTACAATATTTCATTCACAGGTATAAGGGACAACTGCCATTATAGCTAATACAGAGCCTGTTTCTGGGTTCCCAATCTCTCTGCACTGTAAGGACTCCTCCTGCACTCCCTCCTTCAATCCCCAAGCAGATTCTGGGGCCATAACACTAATGAAGAGCCTTTCAAGACCTTGTGGCCATATCCATGTGGAGGATGAAGAACCTCAATGGTAGAGAAAACTGAGCCAGGTAAACTACTAATGAGAATTTGACACATCCATTTTCCCCCATGGCATTTATTCACTGGTGCAACTGTGTGGTCTACCTTGAAAAAAATCACACTCAGCCTCCCAAGAATCACCAGTGGCTCACAATCATAAAAGTTATAGAGACTTGCTATGTTGAATTACAATTGCAGTCTAAGCATGGTCTTGCAAAATGGATCATGTGAAGAAATGCTGCGTGAAGGTGTCAGTGGGAAGTAGGATGAAAGACTAAAGACCTTACCTGAAAATTTCAGAATTAATTTTTACTCAAAATACTTAGAGAATGTGCAATGTAAAAGTTAAATAGAGTTCGGATCTCTTCTTTAGGTGCCCAATGGAACATAATTTCTTCAGTGGTGGATTTCAACTGTTGATTTCAAATGACTATTATTGTATCTACAGATGCCTTTCCTCGACCCCTACTTCCATCCAAAAACTTTTCAGTGATGGAAACTCATAGCTACCAACACTGACTGTGGAGGGGCAAGCATTTCGGTCACAAGGCCACAAGTGCCAGTCAGCAGGCATGCAGAAAGAAGAGAAGGAAGTCCTGCCAACAATTAATGACTCTTAACATTCAGGAGAAAAGTACAGTGAGTAGAAGGACTGGAGGATGATAATATCTAAAGAAAAAATGGAACAGGTGATGGAGTAAGCAAACCCTTTGCACTAGGACAGAATTTAGGAGGAATACTTCAAGCACTCCTGTCCTTACAAAACAATCTTCTCTTGCCTAAGTAAGCACCATTTGTCTTGCCTATGTTTTTCCCTTGGGCCTTTGCCAACCAAAGAGCATCTCCCGGTTCTGTGTGTCCACGGTGACACCAGCAGGAGTAGAGAAATGCAAGGGCCCTGCTATAATTTCTCCTTTGGCCAGCTCAACGCACTCCAAGATGTTGCTTTTCCTTATTCTAACTTCTTCCTTCCCCCCACTGCCGTTCTTTGAGGTTAAAAAAAAAAAAAAAAAAAATCTCTTATTTGCCTGAAGAGCGTTCATTGACTTTACTCAATTTCTAAAGACTTCTTTCTGGTTGCTATGGAAGCTAAAAATCAAAACTCCACTTACAGCACTCTGAATGCTTTTCCCCCCAACAATTACAAAAAGAACTGTACTTATGTGAGTTCCCTTATCTATCTTCAGAACTAATAAACTGCATATGATGTTTTGAATTGACCTAAACAACTAGAGAAAACCCAATCCTAATCCATGCTCAGCGTTTTCTCCTCCACGCAAAGTACATCACCATAGAACTTAAAAAAAAACCTTTCAGCCTTGAGTGTAAAATTAATAAAAATGAGTGTTACAATATAGAAAGAGCATTACGACTTTATAGTTTCTTGTAAGGCACTTAAAATTTAACACGGCACAAATCAAAAGTAAATGTAAAATTTAGAATGGTTGAGCTAAAGTGCCTTTTGCTGTAAAAGTGTAAAAGCATAAATGGAAGATCTATAAACTAAATCTTATGCCAGGAACTATAAATAACATTCCAAAGGCTGAAGAGGCTTCACACCCGCCCCCCCTCTCCCCCTTCTATAAGATTCTGCAAAATGCACAGGACTTAAATTTAAGTGCGTGAGCCCTGCACAAAGGGCTGACCCGACTATTCCCGTCCCAATAATTGCACAGAAGCTCTACTGGGAAGAATCTTGTGGATAAATCACATTTCTGCAGAAATTAAAAAAGTGATAAAGAATCTTCACCTTATTTCATATAATGGGAAAAGGGAGGAAAATATTAAAAATTCAGCACCATTTTCCTCTTCATTAACTTTTTAATTTTGAAAAAGTAATTAGCAATTTTTTTACTATGAGCATGGTGAGGTACTGGAAGAAAATGCCCAGGGAAGTTATGGATGCGCCATCAATGGAAGTCTTCAAGGCCGGGTTGGATGGGGCTTTGAGCAACCTGGTCTAGTGGGAGGTGTCCCTGCCCACGGTAGGGGGGTTGGAACTAGATGATCTTTAAGGTCCCTTCCAACCCAAACCATTCTATGATTTTATGATTCTAATGTGGTATTGTTATTGTTCTCCATTATATTCCCACTGACTGAAGTATTTTCATGTTGTTACAACTCTAATTTCAACCTTCGCTTTCAGATTCTTTGGTAAGTTTAAATAAAGCAAACACAGACAGGGTAGCTTAGTCATATACTTAAGCTGATCTGAATTGCCTAGAACCATATTCTTAAATTCATCAGCTTCCATACAGATCCCAACAGTTGCTTAAGTTTCCCCACTTAGATTACTTCCTGGACTGATACCTTTGCACATGATGTGTGGATGACTCTTCCTTGCTTATTATACAGTAAGATCTAACATAATTGAAGGTAGAAATTTCTGAGCAACAGCTGGCTGAACACATAGGTGAGAATATTTACAGATCAATGACATCTATTTCAAGAACTGAGGTTAGACAGGCAACTTGTGAAAAGATTTCCTGTAAAGCTGCCTGTACAAATTCTTGGGGCACCCTCAATACAACTTATCCAAACCAAACAGTTAAAGTGGATGTTCTGCACCACGTTCAAAAGTGGTCACTGGGAAAAAAAAAAACAAAACCTACAATGGAGTCTACAGAAAAGCTGCTTTCACTCCAGTGGGCTACCTTAACTAGTGAGTACTTTTCTCCAGGGCATGAGACTTTTTGAGTGCTTGAGAGATGCCTTTATTAAGGGCCTAAGGAGTAACTGGTAAGTCTTCCCCTTTTAGAAGATAAAATAAGATGATAATAAACAGTATATGCTCCTTCTGCCTACTGCAAACACTAAAGCAATTTTTTTCATTCCAACCTGGTAAGTATCTAGATAATAAGGTACAAAGTTATAAGAAACTAATAATGAAAAGACAGCTTACGTACAAGTATACTGAGAAGTAAAAAAAAAATAAAATAAAATTGCATTTAGCAACAGAAGATCTCAGATTTAGTTATTTCTGCATGTGAGAGATAGTAACACATCTATCCACAGACCTTAAGTTGCTCATCCACGACCCTTGTCACTTCTCCAGCCATGGATTCAAGTGTCTCTTGGATTGGATTGGAGAGTGAACCATTTGCTCCTGCCCAAGAAGCTCCACCGAGGTGATACAGATTTGGTAAGAGCTGTAAGAAAGAAAGAATATCTTCAGAAAGTAGGCTTATCACTACCTGTCTTCAAATCCAGAAAAATAGGAGGAAATCTCTCTGCTAAATCAAAGTCTGGATAAATTAGAATTATTTTGTCACTTGAAATACTACCTACAGCTGATCATCTGCAGAAAATACTCTTTTGTTATTTTAACTCCCCCAAAAAAGAAAAGCTGCAAGCACACACTGAGCTGCTCTCAGTATTACCAGTATGCTGGGAAAGGCTTACTGTTTTGGAGTTCTTAGCATCCCGCATAAGCCGTTCTGCAGATTTGACATCCTCCTGTACAGCATCCACACCGCAGTTTCTTAAAGAGTTGAGATGATCTTGCACTTTTACACATATTCTGTCAATCATCTACTTGAACAAAAGAAATGGACATGATAAAACATCAGAATGTCGGTCCAATGCAAACTGAATTCAGTCCAGGTAGCAAATCAATAGTAGTGTGATGAGATTTGTAGTAACAATATAACAATCTGGAAATGCATGATCAGAGCTTGGAGATATATCAATGCTACTGAAGGAAAGCATATCTCATAAAGACACACCTAAACATTGGAAAAATAAACAAAACTTTACCATTAAAAAAATAAATGCTTTGGAATATTTCCCCCACAGTTACCTCCAGGATAAGTGCAAATAACCAACAAGTTACCCAGTTCAAGTTCTGTTATGTTATTTGAGCAAGTTTAATGCTGAAAATGTTGTTGATATACCCAACACTTAGCTCGGAAGATTCCTGAATTGTTAAGAAGTTCAGGCAATAAAAGAAAGCTCTGTCACTATCCATTCAACAAACATGAACAGAGATTTCTCCTGTCTAAGCAAAATGCAATTGCACAGGCTTCTGAGGTATTCTTTCAAAATGTAAATATTCCTACTTGCAAGGGAACTATAACGACCAAAGTAGAAGTTTCCATCAGACCTTTCACAGCGGGTTAAATTTAACTTAATCTCTATCCTCAACATGATTCATTCAACATGCTGCAAATACAGGGCAGGTGGTATATCTGTATCCTTACAAGACAAACCAATAAGAATGCCTGACATATAATCAGTTTTGATTAAGATATACGGAGCAGGGAGATATAATAGTTGAAAGTCTTTATCAGCCCACATAGCATTCATTAGAAGGGGCTATTTGACATTTTGAAGCAACATCTGAGTGCACGTGTCATCATCATATAAAGTCTACAGTTCTAGCATCTTATATCATTAGCAACAAGAACTGAAATAATTTCACAGCATGGTCTTTTTCTGCTCTGCACGACTCTTCCTCTTCAAAGGGTTTTGGGTGGTTTTTTTGTACAAGTACAAAAAGCTAATTAATTATTAGACAGAGGAAAGTCTCATTGGGACATCTGGACTAAAAAAAAAAGAAATACATTCTGGGAATAATAATGCAATTCTACCATACTAACTAAAGAGTCTTTTCTAGCTCTCTTTTAAAATTGTTTTCAAAATCTATCTTTATTGTACACAATTTAATATAGAAACGAGTAATTTTACTCTACTTTCAAAATAACAATAAATTACATTTACTGAAACCTGATGTGTGTGTGGTTGTTGGAGAAAAGCACAGCTAAAACCACCAAGCTATAAAGAGATCTAAACTTAATTCATACGGAGATTATTAACTTGGGGAAAAAAAAGTGGCATTGGGACAGATAAATTACTAAAGTGATGCTGCTTTTGCAGTTTTTAGGGCCAGGACATCTCCACGTGCCATTTTCTCTTTCGAGTGGTTAGGGTATAATTTCAGGTTCTAGTAATAAAACACTGTCCCATTAAATTTTAATAACACAGGTAGAAAAGGGCCACTTTGAATTAAGTTTCACAAAAAAAAAAAGTGCAGAGAACAGAGAGAAATTTTATTGACTTAGGTGAAGAGCAAAACAGATATTCCTCTCCTATTTGCTAGAGTCTCCCATTTGCATGGGAACACAACTGGTGCAAACAAACATAGAACTATATCTAAACCAAAGGCCGTAACAAGTTTTATTCTGCTTACACTGCCTTGCTTCAGTGGTGTACTGGAGCTGAAAACAGCCCTGAGGGATACTGGTAAGAAATGCACTAGAACAGAAAATGCTTGTAGACCTCTCAAAAGAAATGAAAAAAATAAAACCCAAAACAACAAACCAGAACAGCACATGGCATTTAGGAAACCTGGTAGTGATTGACAAAACAGAAAAGCTTCCCAGCTTCAAGCAATATTTCAGGCTGTGTTAGACAGGAAGGCTTTTCAGCTGACCAGACTATAAAGAGCACAGAAGACTTCTCCCTTCCTTTGCTCCCTCCCTCTAAGTAAACCTTTCCCAGTCCTGTTCAATGTATTCATCAATGACCTGGATGAAGGGATAGAGTGTACCATCAGCAAGTTTGCTGATGACACAAAACTGGGAGGAGTGGCTGACACGCCAGAAGGCTGTGCCCCATGCATCAGTACAGGTTGGGGGCTGACCTCCTGGAGAGCAGCTCTGTGGAAAGGGACCTGGGAGTCCTGGTGGACAACAGGATGACCAGGAGCCAGCAATGAGCCCTGGGGGCCAAGATGGCGAATGGCATCCTGGGGTGCATCAAGAAGAGTGTGGCCAGCAGGTCGAGGAGGTCATCCTCCCCCTCTACTCTGCCCTGGTGAGGCCACTTCTGGAGTACTGCGTCCAGTTCTGGGCTCCCCAGTTCAAGAAAGACAGGGATCTGCTGGAGAGGGTCCAGCAAAGGGCTACGAAGATGATTAGGGGATTAGAACATCTCTCATATGAGGAAAGGCTGAGGGACTTGGGTTCTTTAGTCTAGAGAAAAGAAGATTGAGGAGGGGATTTTATTAATACTTACAAATACTTAGAGGGAGGGTGCCAGGGGGATGGGAAGTCTTTTCAGTGGTGCCCAGTGATAGGACAAGAGGTAATGGGCACAAACTTGAACATAGGAAGTTCCATCTTAACATGAGGAACTTCTTTACTTTGAGGGTAGTGGAGCACTGGAACAGGCTGCCCAGAGAGGTTGTGGAGTCTCCCACTCTGGAGACATTCAGAACCCGCCTGGACGCCGTCCTGTGCAACCTGCTCTGGGTGACCCTGCTCTGGCGGGGGATTTGGACTAGATGATCTCCAGAGGTCCCTTCCAACCCTGACCATTCTGTGATTCTGTGACGGTGTAAGGTAGATGATGACTTACTCTCTAAGACGATTTGCTCTGGTGGTATCTAAGGGCATGTTTATAGCCTTGCCCAGTGCTAGACAGGGAGACTGGAACTGACTCAGACACTAGAATTGGCACAGCCTCATGATGATGCTTGTCACACTGATGAGAGCCTGCTGAAAAGTCAGACTCCTGTGCACGAATGAACTAAACTGTTCTGGTTTCAACAGTAGTTCACTCAAATAGCTTGGGTCTTTCTCTACACAGCACTACTATACACAAGACCTCCCTCTCACAAAAGCTTTTTTCCTTCCAAAAATATTAGCATCGATAATTATTGTTTCTTGGGAAACCAAGTATCACCCATAACGCACATCCTGCTTTAAGCTACTCCAATGCAATGAGAGAGAATTCTGGCCCCAGGCAGATTTTAGACACTGAGAAATACCAGTAAGGAACAAGTTCTCACCTGCTGAGTGGTACTAGTGACAATGCCTTGCTGCAGCCGGTACGCTTGCTCCTGTAGGTACTTTCTGGTCTCGTGATTACGAAGCAAGTAGTTTTCTATCTAAAAAACAAAGCCAGCTTAGGAAACCGATTTGACTCTTTGCATAGTAATTTGCTTTCAATTCTGCTGCCATATGAGAAATGAGGACTGACAGGAAAAACTGCCCAAGTATTTGTTTGTTACCTGCAAACCTTGTTCTCTGTGTCTCAATGCTTAATAATCACATCAGCAAATACTCATTCACTCACGGACTACTGAAACACTATTAAACACTGTTTTTGCCAGCATTTTCTGAATCAGTCTATTCTGAACAATTTAGTATGTTATGTTGACAAAAGGAGTAGATCCAGGTTTGAGAAATATTTGAAGGGACTCTATCCATAAAGTGTTATTGTAGAAACCATGATGACATACGATAATTGATTAATTTCTTTTAGATGTATTCAGCCTGCTGCAAAGACATAGATTTAAATAGCAGTATGCTCCGGAGAGAAGCTAAAATATATTAAAGTGCCTAACTGATACAGAGGAGCCTCAGTTCAAAAGTTACTTAAGGCTAAGCAGTACATAAGCGCTCTTCAAAGACAAGTGATTCCTACCCTGAGCTGCTGGTCACAGCCCACCACAAGTGTCACCAGCAGTGAACACCTACCATCAACCAGCTTAATGGCACACAGAGTAACCCCCTAACCTGGCTCTATCAAACTCAGTCAAGTCAAAAAAACCTACTAGTAAACTGTTTAAGGATCATCAAAGGTGATGGATCTGGTCTGAAAGGAAGCGCGGGGAAAAGGATAGGTAAAGTGGCCAGCAGGCTGTGAGCCAGAGACTAACAGGAACTGATGGTCACCTCAAAACCCGCATCAGCAGCAAGAACTGCAACAGTCTGACCAAGGCCCACAGCAATGCAGGGTTTATCCAGTTTGCCCATGCTGTAAGTAAAGCGTGCTGCAAAGATACCATAGCTCAGGACGTTAGCTACTGTGTCCATCTGGTGCTGGACCAGGGCCAAGAGCACTCTCATTGTACTCAAGCTGTGGTGTGCTGAAGCTTACAGACCCTCCTGAGATATCAGTCAGTCAGTTCAGGTGTCCCTGCGCCGGGCAGGACAGTTTTGTCTTTGTGTGCAGGCATTCCTACCTGCACAGAATTAGCTGCATTCGCAGGACCGCTCCTGAGACTGTTACCTTTTTTTGGAGAGAACTTCCTCATATTGTGTAAATAAAGCCTAAACCACACATGTTAAAACAAACTCAGGGCCAAACTGTTTTAGCAACTTTGACATGAATAAAAGAAAAAGCTGTTTGTACATAATGCCTAATTAACAAGTAGACTTTAAATTCCTGTGATCAGAAGCTTCATGATGTTTTTTTCAGGGATGCATCTATCATTCTAGAAATGAACCTATGTGCAATTATATTAAATGAGATGTAAGAAATATGTACGTCTCCCATGATTCAGATTTTTTAAAGCAGAATTAATATCATTTTCATGCATCAAAGAAAAAGGCGCTAACTACTAGCACTTTTCCCTATGAGAATCACTTTACTGAAAATTTCTTTACTAATAAGGATCACAGACATTTGCTTTTTAATCACTGTTATCTGTAAGAACTATTTATAAGGTTGTTATGACCTTATCCTGGCTGAAGGAAAACTACTCATTAAAGAGATGTGAACTGTATGCTTTCTGATTGAGCAGGAGGCTCATTTGGAGCTTGCAAGATTTACCATATTAAAACTCAGCTGGGAATTTTATAACTCATGCAAGTGGAACAGCTACAGATACTGTCAACACCTCTTCATCCAAAAGAACATGTTGGTGCAGCTGTTTATTTAGGGCAACATACTATGTGAATTTTATATGTACCATATAAAACACATGCAGTAAATATTTTTATCCTCCCCCAAATTAAAGAGCATCCTTTGTCTTGTACAGCACTGACTGCACTTTTTATGCCAAAATAAAAAATGCGTACCAATAACACTACGCACATGGAAATACGCAGAAGGACATATGTAACACACATGCCAGTTTCTGACTCTCCCTTTCATAGTTACGCATACAGCAATACAAGGTCTAGCTTGCACTTACTTAGTTATGACTTTTTGATACTACATCATTGCATTCCATCACCCTTCACTGCAACCATTCTTTGGAATAAAAAGACTTACGTGCTCTTGCAGCACCTGATTACCACGTATATGCCCACGCATATGAAACAAAACAATGAACCTAGCCTAGAATTCTTACTCAGCCAAGCATGAAATCACAGCCACTTAAAATTATTACTTTAGTGGTTTTATTTCTGTACGTTGGTGCTATATGCAATACCTTTTGCAGCGCCTCTTCTGTTTTCTCAGGGTTTGTTTTGAGTGCTTGGGAAGCGTCATTCATTGGTATAGGCATGAATCTCAAAGTATAATTCCTAAAGAAAAATAAAAGATTTTTAATATTAAAAGGTAACCTAATTACTTTATCTTTTTATGAAGAATAAACAAGAAGGGAGAAATAAGATGCATCTAGCTTGTCTGTGTACGAAGAATGGTACTAAGAATGTATTTTGAAAATCAAAAAATGCAGTTAAGAGGCCAATGCCCAGTGGCTGTCAATTAAAGCTGTCCTCTGTACTTTTGTGCACAAGGTTGGATTACTTTTTCCTATATCAAAACAGAACAGTGAGTGTCAGTGCCTGCCGGCAGTTCTATCAGATCTAAGTCAAAATGGAAATATTCAGTAACAGATAGGTAGCGACTAAGAGACTGGGCTTCGAAAATTTACTATTTAATAACTTCTTGTGTTTACAACAATTTGAAGACACTTGCTGAAATTTTAATAAAAGCTGACAAAACAAGCATAGCACTCCACATCACTTTATGCAAAAAATTGCTCCCTGTATTTTACTTATTTGTTTGCAAAATATTTCCTTAGCTTTGTCCACCTGCTGCGATATGAGAATAAAGACAGAGTTTTGGTCTTGAGTCAAAATTGTATTTACTCTGAGAACATAAATTGGCTAGCATGACGCACTTAAACCTAAAATGCTACATGCAGTGGTATGTCCACACACCTTCAGATTTGAATAAATGAAAAAGAAAAGAGTAAGAAGTTCTTAAAACCTGGAAAGGAAATCATTCTTCTTATTTTCAATTAGCTTTATTTCCTGCAAACATCTCTTCCTTCTATTTCGGCTGTCTGCAAACATCCCACTAACCGTCTGTTCCTATTCCATCCACAGCTACATAAATACGGTTGGAACCCTCTATTTTTGAGCACTTTAAAGTTGACAATTTCAACGGAGTCAACTCCATTGACTTCAATGGACCCATCCCTCACTAAACGCACTAACTCCAACAGCAGATACCTACACTACTGTGAACTTCAATGGTTCTTTCACCTCCTCTCCCACCAGTTGCTTAAACCACTCTCTGAAGTACAGCGGTCTTTTGAACTGCCAAACACACTCATTCCTCATTGATACCACCCAACATTTTACCTTAAATGATAATGTAAGACTTGAATGTTTCTTCCCCAACGTAAACATGGCGATGTATAGCTGTGAGTCACAGGCACTCACGTGGAGTCAGCAAGGTCCCTGTCCTTCCACAGTGTCCAACTGCCTACTGTGTCACAGCCAGATTAACTTTTCTTTCTAGTTGTCTTGTCCTTCAAAAGAACTGTGCAAACTATATAGACCTGTTATGTGTCCTTCTGTAATACTAAACAGCAAATAACTGGCTGTCCACCACCACGGGGAAAATTTTTAAATGTCAAAGATACGAAGTTCAAAGACACATAATAATTACAGAACTTGCTGATTGCCTGACTACTACCTGGCAGGTGGGGTATTTAGTTAAAAAAGAAACAAAGGTAGACTTCCAAGGATCTCTGCTGCTGTTTGACATTTAATACAGCCCATTCATTGAAATCTATAATTGCCAGCTCTCATGCTAGTAATTATACGCTAAATTCAATTTAATCAAAGGCTTAGTGCACCCTCCTTCAAACACATAGACAGACACACAGAGGAAGAAGGGGGAAATGAAAGGCAAGGAGATTTCATGGACACACAGTCACAGAGGCAGAACTTCAGAAGACCGCTATGCCAAGGAAGGCGCTGTACTTGGTTTCCTCCCAGACAGACAGCATTGTATTGAATGCTACTTCATTTTCATCTAAGAATTAACCATCTCTTAGGGGCAAAAATTTAGGAATTTAAAGGTTGCTTTTCAACTTTGATCATCAGAGCAATATTTATCTTCACACTTCATTTTCCTCTGTTTCCTTTGAAGTCTAAAATATTCCTCCGTTCTTCTTTATATTAAGACTTCACTTGTCTCTTGTAACAGACTGCATTTCTCTACCAACCCAATAAACCGATAAATTCAAAACATATTAATACTCTCAGCAAAATACCTGTATTTAATGGGTGTTAAATTTCAGACAGGTGCTCAGAGACTGGAAAGGGTGTCTCAAAACCCTCTTGTCTCTTCCTCTACATACAGCATGTGTCACAACAGTCCTACATTTCATCACATTATTTCCCTTGTTGTAACTTCTGCTCCATTCATGACATACGCTCTCTGTTGCAGAGTGACGATTTTATTGCCTATTTTTTTTTAAAACGGGAATAAGATCATCTGTTTTGCAGGCTTGGGCATGCGAATTTAATATCACTGCTAGGGGAAGAATTTGTAGCCCTCTAACAAATCCCAGCATTTCCCATCAGATTTCAGAACTTGAACTATTTCTTCAGTCAGTCCATACAGAAAAAATATCTTCTAGAAATTAATATGGGACAATACTGTACAGTTCTATGACAGAGTGGGCTCTAGGCTGCAAAGCACACAAGCACATGCTTATTTTCATATTAAAATTACAGAGATACAAGTCCCTATTTAATGTCAAGGCTGAATAGGATGCCCACTGTTCTCAAATGCTTTCCTGAACTGACACCTGTACTGGACTCTACAAAAGATCCTCTCAGCATCTCACATCAGCTGTCACATCACCCTTGGGGCAACTCTGCCAACAGCCACGCTTCTGGAATTCCCTTGCAGGAACATTTTCTCACATCTATAAATAGATGAAGAAAAGTTGGGAGGATGGGAAAAAAAAAAAAATCTTCAGATTATTTCAGCCTGTTTTAAAGTCTGTTACAATCCCTCTCAATTCTCCTCAGCCTCCTCATCCTACTATGAAGGCCTAGCTTTCTTCTTTATTGTCATTTAGTATATGACTTTTTTTTTTTTTAAGAACAAAATCAAAACAACACACACAACACACACACCCCCAAGCATCTTCAGTATATTTCATTCCATTTTGAGCAACAGTTCTTTCCTACAGAATATTGACGGTTTCATGTATTTTTAGGAAACATATGGTGGAGGATGTTCTCACTATGTCTTTGAGACGGATTGTTTAAAGGCTAATTGTTTTCAGCCAGTATTGACAGTCCCTCTCCTGCAAGTTTAAACCTTTGTTGCTTATGGCTTATTTTATGATATTATCAATGGTTTTAACAATTTTCAAATGTTAAAGGAGACATCAAATGACTTCATCTTCCAAGCTAAATAAATGAGATGTCACCTCAACAAAGTGCAATGTTGTGCAATTATCTGTAGCATTTCTTTTTTTTCTGCTACATGATTTACTTTTGCCTTAGGATTTCCCCCTCCTTTCTATTTACTTATCCAAGCACTTCAGAAAAGAAAAGTAAAGTTGATGCTAACCAGAAAATAAGCATATTTACTTCTCTACCAGACTTTCTCATAAATGTATATGCTATTGCTCTCTAAAAGTGAAATGTCTGCAAGTTGACAAATAACCTTTGCAAATTATTATTCACTGCTATCAATGGAATCATTCCAAGATGATTTGCTTAATTATACATCATTTATATAATTTCCCCCATCAGTGCAACTGAATTCATTTTGAAACCAAGTATATAAACGACCACAGTTTCATAAAACTAGTAGCTTTATAAGCTTAAGCCTCAAAGGGTTGAGATGCTCCCCTAAGTAGTTATACAGTTTTGCAGGACATCTTGCCTAGAAACTAGCAATTGTACATTACCTGCACCTTCTAAAGAGAGCCTTTGTTCCTGTCTGAGGGATTTAATGACGTGAGACAACCGCAACTGCTTCTCAATCTAAATCTGTAATTTTTCCCTCTTAAGAAAAGTAATAACAAAATAAAGAAATGTGATGGAGATGGAGAGAGATGAAAGTCATTTAGCATCTATCACTGGTAATGGCTGCAACTGTGAGTAAGCTCAGGAAAGCAAAATGACCCAGACCACAGCGATTACAATGAACAACTGCAGTTCCCGAGATCATCAGTGTTAGTTTCAACTTGCTGGGGGAAAGAAAAAAAAGTCAGACTACAAAGGCATGCTTCAGTAATTTGCTGTTATTATATACAGCTTCATTCACTGACTAGAATAGAATTTCTGCGTGCTATCAACACAAGAGAATGAAGAAAAGGGAAAATATTCTTAAATTCATAATTTTAATGCTAACAGCAGAACTCAATGGCCTTAATGCTGATAGCAGAGTATGGGTGAAAAAACCACGGAGCCTTTTCCCATCCTTTTGAAAGATGTGAAGTCATAAATTTTCCTTTAGCTTAAACACTCTGATGCTTAAAACTGACAGCACTCAGCATCTTCAGATCATATGGACTGTGGTAGGAACTGCAGCTGCCCAGATCGTTCAGGATCTAAGTCTTTGGCCTATTCATCAGTCCTTCAGTTGCTCAAGAACTTACTTTTCCAGTGCCACAGCTATGTCCTGGAAGCCCTGCGCAGTGATGTTATTCTTGTCCCATATTACAGTTCTGAGAGATGGCAGAGAGAGAAAAGAAAAAAAAAAAGTTAAATGAACCACAGAATAAACCTATATTGAAAGTTTGCACATTGAAATAACACAGCGCTGTACATTCAAAATTGTATATTGGAAAGCAACATTTTAAACGCCTGTCTTTAGTTATATGCTAAAACCTTGAAGTGACAGAAGTTAGGGACAAAGATACTACAAAATTCAGCTTCCCCTTCTTTAAAGGGGACTCTGTACTATATTTTCCATCACTGACACAAAAAAATAACTTTTCTAAAATACAATCAATAGCAAGATTTGGAGATAAAATTCCAGCTTTTTCCAGGAACAGCATCAAAAATAAAGTTCAAATGTCTGCTTTGCAAGCCCACACTGAAAAACAAGTAAATCGCAGTAAGTGATCAATTTGTTTTACATAGGCTATATGGATACAGTTATAAAAAATGTTATTTAAAAAATTCATGCTGATTGGTGGTCAAAATTTGCAGGCTAATGTATATTCAATCCTATACTAGCTCATCACACAGTTCCTATGATTCTACATGCAACATAACTAACTGTCAGTATAAGCGATTAGGTTAGGTGCATAAATTGCAGCTCTTTTGAATTCACAATAGTGATAAGAGTGATCAAGTGTTCCCCCCTCCTCCCCCAATTTAGACCACTCAAGCAGACTGCCTGGCAATTTGCGAACACATGTTCAAAGATCTCATTAGTAGTCAGAAGAGAGAGTCAAGCAGATAAATCTTGCTTGTGCAAGAGCACTAGTTGTAGCTGTTCTTAAAAGAAAGGCACAAAACCAAACAAAGATTTCTGCTGTTGAAGAAGAACAAAAAAATAGATGGAAGGGTTTCACAGGTATTGATACTCTTCTGCTGTTGCAGAATCATCCCTTTGTTTTTAGATGGAAAGATTGAGGTAAGGAAGAGAGGAAGAGAGATTCTCCACCCACTCTGCAGAGATCCCCAGATTTCCTAAAGTCAAATCTCGGATATTTTTATCATTGAAAAACATGTTTATATTTCTATCCAGATGTGATTTTATAACATTTTAAGCAGGGCTAGTTACCATTGCATTATTCAGTTTGTAATCACACGATACTGTGGTGACATTATGTCAACTGTGACATTCAGTGTACTGTGGAACATTTCAGTCTGCCACCCTAAAAGCCATCAAGGCTTTATTTCTTCAGGTACTGTGGTCATTTCAGGTTAATACACTCAATAAACCAAAGTCACCTCTCCAGTGTTTTCTCGACATTTTCAATATTCAGTTTGGGCAGAGCAATGCAAAGACCAGGATCCCTGCTTCTGAACGAAATAGCCAGGACTGTTCTGGGGAATTTCCTAATTCCCAGGGAACAAATGCTTGGAGACCAGGCACAAAGTGGTCTCTTCACAGACAATACACTGAGGAAGGTTCATCTGCACAGTCTGACAAGAGGAGGAGTGAGGATTAGCTTTCCTGATGACGGTGACATATTTACAGGTCCCCATCCAGATTCATGCTGATTGATGGTTTTACTGTTTTCTAATCACATGCTGGATAGAAAAAAGTGATACTCTCAAGCCATCAGTGCCAGACATGTGCAAAAAAGCAGTGAAGTTGTCGGGCAGATGAAGTTCCAGAGAAGAGATGCCAAGGTCCATCAGCACTGTAGGCAGGGGAGAGGGGAAGGAGGGATGGTTCGTGCTGCTACCCATTCTGAATTCCACATGCTCTTAGTTCTCCTACAAATTGATACTCCAGAAGACAAAGAATAATTTACTTTAGTTTCTGACTCAAGTACCAGAATTTTCTCTGCTGGGATGGCCTCCAGTAGAAAAGAGAGAGCAGAACAGAAAAGAGTAGCTAAGCACTGGAACGGGGTTCCCAGACACACTGCGGAATCCATGTACTTGGAGATCGTCAAAACCTGTCCGGACAGGGCACTGAGCAATCTCGGATAGCTTTAAAGTTGGCCCTGTTTTAAGGAGGACATCGGATTAGATAACATCCAGAGCTCTGTAACAAGGTAATTATCTTTTTTTTTGCTATGATACTAAGGAATTTAGAGATCTCTTGTTCCAACAGGGCCTTTGTGTAATTTTCTCCAGTTTCAGTTATGGAAATATTTCTGCACATACAATTTGCTTCTCTTTGTTGGTTTTTTTTTTTTGGTGTTTTGTTTATTGGTTTTGTTTTTGTTTTTGTTTTTTTAAGAAAAAAGGATTAGAATCTTTCCAAATGGAGACACTATAAAGTGGTGGTACCTAGAAGGGTTCTGATGAAAAAAAAAGCTTGAAAATAAGCAAACAACATCAGTATCATTAAGCCATTTTATCTTTTACTGCAAATACATTTCCCTTACCTGAGCTTGGTGTTTATCTGTAGGGCTTTTGCCAGCATCTTTGCTCCCATATCTCCCATGGCATTTCCACTAATATCCACTTTTGTAAGAGAAGTATTGCTGCCCAAGGCATTAATAATGATGGTGACCTCAGTCTTCAGCTTGGAATCTGCGAGGGACAATGACTGCAGAGGCTGGGGAGCACAGAAAAGGCACTGATAACAGCAAGTGATAATGCACTCATTCCTCAAACATCAACCAAAAGAAGTCAAAAGTTCCCCAAACTCTTGGAGACGGGACTAAGCATCAAAGAGTTATTTCTGTTTGCTGCAGAACACATGACAAATTGGGAGTCAACAACTTACAACACAGGTGTCACATACACAAACAGATAAAGTTGCAACACCCTGAAAAAAAAAAATATTTAAGTGACAGTGCCTCCAGTGTCCTGTGTCCTAGTAAGTACAGAATACAGCGGGAACCTGAAGAGGCAAAATAGCAACAACCAGCTTCACAAGACAACCTTTAGATTTCAGTGGGTTTTGCTTAACCAGCATGCTTCCCTGTCAGTGAGAAATAAAAATATCTATCACTCCCCTCCTCTCTCGCAGACTGAGAGCTTTAGCCAAGGGCAAATTAGGATCTGAGACATTGTTAATACAAAACCAATTCCTTTAAACTGTTTTATTATTGTTACTTCAACCTTAGGAGTGACTTTATGTATCTGTTCCTTCAACTAAGGGCACGGACATTTGAGAGGAAAGAGACAAAACTGTAGCAGGTCTGAAATTAAAACCAGTAAGAAGAGTACCTGTTAAAATGAGCAAACCAATGGATATTATTCGCAGTGGTGTTCTGACACCTGTGATTGCAATATCTTTATGTAACTTTTTTTTTTAATAGATATACACTATGTTAAGCTGAAACTACTTTATTGGGCTCCCGCAATTCACACTCTTAAGCCTTAAGAAAACTTAAAAATGCCTTCATTCCCTCCATTCTCAGTGTCCCAACACATAACAGCAGGAGCAAGAACTACAGTCTATCCACCACCATGCCTTGCAGAGATATTACAGCTGCTAAAATTGTAATTTGCCTTTGCTGATGTACGAGTACTCCACAAAACATTTCCCTTGCTCGAGCATGAGTTCATACAGAGTGTCATTATACACCCACTTAGACGTGTATTGGAGGATGAATTTTTGGAGCCTAAAATCTCCAAATTGCTATTATGGGAAAATCAGCATCTCGTAAGGATGAACCATGGCACCTACATTAGATGCATAAAACTTAGATTAAATATATAAATAACCCAATTAAATAACCCAATTAAATATATAAATAACCCAATTGAACTGTGCACACCTTCCAGGGTCCAAGATGCTTGCATGGTACCTGCTACACATTGGGAGCCTAGCCTCCAAGCACCACTGGATTACAGTGATAACCAAAAAGCTTTCAACAATAAGAAATGCACTTATAAATGAGGAAATGCATAAAAATTTGGAGGCACAGCAGGTTTATAATTAAAAAGTCTAACAGCAACACAAGCAACATGCTGGTTTTATTTTAAATTGAAGTTATTAAATTACTATGTTAATGCCCTTAATCTGTGTGTGTTTCCCCATTTTATTACATTATGTACCCTAAAGAATATTAGCACTGCATTAGGATGGCATTTAGAGCTCTTGGCACATGTTTGAGATGACTTCCTGTGACAGATCACAGAAGAGCAGCATCATGCAGCACTTGGACAGAAATCGCCAATAAGCTTGTGGAAGTGAAGTTTCTTCTGTTTCTCATGTGTCACTTTAGAAAGGGTCGTTCAAGTAACTTAGCTGGAAGTACTCCATCCCACATACCAATTTTTCTAAACCTCAGATATCACAGAATGGTCAGGGTTGGAAGGGACCTCTGGAGATCATCTAGTCCAACCGCCCTGCCAGAGCAGGGTCACCTACAGCAGGTTGCACAGGACGGC